GGTGGTGGTGGTGATGGTGATGGTGGTGGTGGTGGTGGTAAGGCTCGGTTTCATAGAGTTGTGAATCACTTCAGCTTATCAAAAGAAACTTGAAGAAAAAGTCAAAACCCAAAGAAGAAAAAGCTTAAAAATTGATCCCCGAAACACTGTAAATCCTTGCAACATTACATCATAAAGTTGCTTTTTCGTTATTAGAGTGATTTGTTGGAGAACATAAATAATATGAAATTATTACGTTGCTTAACTACCCAAATATTTGAATACAGGGTGACAATTGACTGATCGATTGATCGATAGAGGGGATATTCTTTCATATTTTGATGCACTTCACCATAATGAAGAGGAAAAGCAAGCAGACACCATATATTGAGATGTTTTGCTTAGGGCCATAATAATAATAATCGTACAGCGAAATACAGTGCAACGAACTTCACTGATAGCTGCCAGACTCGCAATGCATACAAGGTCAGTAGTTATATTTGAGGTGGACAGGTAGTGGATCTTTATCGAGGCTGGGAGAAGGTAAACCTCTATGGTCAGCACACAGAGTGCACAATCGAACTCTGTATACATACCGTTTCAAGCGTTCTGACCTGATAAGAAATGGCAACAAGAACGCCACTGATGGTTCGATGCCATATCCTTTGATGTGTCTGGTTGTGGAGTCTTTCGTACCCCAACCTGGAAGGTGAGAGACACCTACTCTACCTAATGGCTCCGTGCATTTCTTCATGTATCATCTCCATGTCATCTGTTGACCTTCATATGGTTTCCTCCCGCTCTGAGCGGCTACAGCGAATAAGGCGCGATGTGGTAGACGGTAGGTGGGCATACGCAATACGTGCCCTAAACAGCGAAGTCTACCAATCTGAAATCGATGTGCTAGTGAAGTTATCCTTGATGGACTCCAAAAAACACGTTGACTTATCCCCCTCCCCCCAGATTAATATCCCGTTCGGTCCATCCCACGTGGACTAAACTACGTAAAACCCGACAATCGAAAACGTCTAGTCGATGGATATCTACTTGCAAATTCAAGATTTCACAACCATAAAGCAGAACCGAACGAACGGTAGCACAATATACACGATCTTTCAACTTCAGTGAAACGTCGCGCCTCCAGTGGTCACGATTATCTAGTACAAATAAAATCGGTGCCAAAGAGAACCCAGACGAGAAAAATAAAGTAAATTCTATATAAAGATGCCATTCCATTAAAGGCAAAATAATCGAGGAATCAAATAGCAAAACAACCACACCTCAATAATTTAGCCACGTAAAACAAAGGGCTCCATGAGGAACAAATCAGGTGGCATGAGATATCTATGGACAGACCAAAACCGATCACGAAGCAACTGAGTTAGAGCGCCTATTAGAGTAGTGGCAAGCAGCCAGAACAACAATCGATTTCGGGCCGGAATGATTTCTCAGTCAAGAACACGGCAAGCTCAAGCGCTATCAAATAACGTGGGGTGGAGCAAGGTGAAAATGGATCAACAGCGACAGTGCCACACACAAAATGGGCTAAGTCAAGAAAACAGTGGATTATCGATCACTCGATGACTAGATTTATGGTTGAGTGGACAGAATCGAATGAGTGGGGTCCATATCCAAGCACAATGAGACCATCAAATTAGTTTCCCATGGATGGAGCACCACCATTTAGATGGCGGGCTATTGTCTGTATCTTATTTTGTAGATTAGGATTGACTGATCATCGTTGAAGTTTAACAGTTTCTTTCGCAGTTGTAATAGCTGCAGCTCACTTGATGCTTGCAAAGTCACAGTCCACGCGCCATGTTATCTGCAAACTTGTAGGTAGAAGTAGGAACAAAAGATGATTGATATCGGTCAAATGCGTGCTATATTTCCTCATCTGGTGCAAAATATAATGACAAATGTTTCTTCCTTAAAAAGCATCCTCGGCTAATCACGATCTCTGTCTTGTTTGGTTTCAGATTGCAGAACAACTCACGCAATCTCCCACTCGAATCATGCATCTAGGCACACTTTATCCAATCGAACAGTCAGAAGTGGCTTGCAGTTTGAACACCAATATTTATCATTTGGTATCTGGCCAGCCGGATTCTATCTCACGATTGCCCGATGAAGAGCGATTGGTGTCCATTCTTCGAAACCTGATAGAGAATGCACGAAACAGTCTTCAACAGGATCAGTCAGGTCAAGTGGAATCGTTGCACACCATAGTCCAACTGATTCGCCTTCTTCGTTGTGTCCCAGATCAGGCCGCAGCGGTAGATGTGTTGAGTGAAGCTTCAAAAATGGCACCGCCAGGGATTGAACCGGGTCTACTCTATCGACAGTATGACACGTGGCGTGATCGCCTGGTAGACGTGTTGGTCAGTTGTGGTACACCGACATGTGTGTCAGTTTTGTTACGCCGTTTGGAAATCCTTACAGATATGAGCAATCTGGCTGTGGAGAATCCGAACGAAGTAAGCACAGAGGTGGTCCAAATGCGAAAAATGTTGTTTCTCACTTTGTGGCCCGCACTGGCACATTTGTCACAAACAGACAATACCTTGTTGGAGCGGTTGTTCAATTCATGTGACCGGGTGATTCAGAGACCGGCACGTACTATCTGTTTGATGACCATTGTGAATCTGTATTCGAAAGCAACAGATGTCTCTCAGGAACTGGAAAACCACCTGATTGATAACACAAATGATTATCTGGCAATTGAGATAAACACTAAGAAGGAAAACAAACAGAAAGATCCCGCTTCCCAGAGTGAGCTGAACTCCAGACTTTTGATTGGACTTACTCTTGCTAAAACTTCCGCTATTCCAAAGCTGTTTGCATCTGTTTCCAAGCTGATTGATGATACGGACAATGTGGCACCGACAGTCCGAGCTTTTGCAATCCAGACTCTTCCAGTGCTGATTGAATCTACAAATAGTGGTACGCAACTTGCACAAGTTCATCGACTTCGGCATCGTTACATGGACCTTTTGGTTCATTCAGTCAACGATACGGAAAATGATCTTGTGGTCGGTCGCGCATTGTTCAATACGATTTTGACATTACATCCGTCTGCATTTGAATTGGTTCAACTGGTTGATCAGCTGGCTTTGCAAAAACGTTGGCCCTTGGTTCGAACCTGTCGTATGTTGCTGGATCACGCTTGTGCCGCTGAGCAGCTTGACAAACATGACTGCGATTGTCTTCATGGTTCCTGTTCCGGCTTTGTGAATTTTGGCTATTCTGGGGGTTGGTCTGGTTTGGCAGTCGCAGAGGATTCCGGGAACGGGGAGGCTACGGTTATACAGGGTGATTTATTCAACGTAAACGACTCATTGATTGCGGACTACTCGTTACAAGTGGTCAACGGTCCAGACGGTGAGTTTCGTTTGTCCAATTTGATGGTCGATTTACTCAGTGCGCACGGAGAGACAAGACTGTTTGAGTTTAATGTGTATACGGAAGGAATGAATACTTTTGTCAGCAAATCAACGCGTAAGCAAAAAAAGACAAAAAAGAAGAAGGCCAAACTATCCACAGCATGGGCCACTGTGGAATTAAACTATCTACAAACTCGCTTACCTCCGTGGACCGTCTTTACCGGCGGTTTACAGGATATGATTCAACTATTATGGTCCGCGCCGAGCGAACCAACCACAGTACTTCAGGTGACCCAAACCGCTATGGATCAACGTCAGCTCAGCTGTTTCGGAACCGGTTGGATTGTTCGAGTCGATGTTTTAGGATTGTTCTCGGT